TGTTTTTTGTCTCTCTCTCTCTCTCTCTCTCTCTCTCTCTCTCTCTCTCTCTCTCTGGAGTCATGGAATCGGACATCACTTTACGTCCTGCGGTCTGATCCTCTCGGGAATCATCGGAACTGATGGGACATTTAAGGATGTTTTTCCCTGATGTCTCATATTCACTGCTGTTGTTGGGAATCTCGTGTCTGACTGGCTTCACTAAGACTTCACAGGAGTTCTCAGGTACTGAACACCACCATCATCATAATCACCTACAAGAGTTTGTGTAATTACACTTTATCATATTTATCCGTTTAAAATGTCAATAGTTTCACACGCGATTAGTCGAAATTCTCAGCTTCACATTTTGACATTTAACATTTAATATTTTTTTTTATATATTTTTCATGCATTGTTGAGGTGTTGATGTGACGTACGCGCATTTATTTCGTCCTGCAGGAGTAAATATTAAATAGAAACATTGTAGCACATTCTTTCGATCAAAGAGAAAGTGCGCGTGTGCGCTCTCGCTGATTTACACTGTTACATGGCATCTTAATATACAGTTAATATATACAGTGGGGTCCAAAAGACTGAATAATTCATGAAAATACTTCTGTTTTGCATTTAAAAATAAATATAATATTTGTTTTGCATAGGCCTAATTATATTATCAGAGTAACAATTTGGAATTTGACTGAGACTTTGAATTGAAGCAACAATGTCTTTTGAGCCCCTTTGTATTTTATATATGATATTCATTGTATGCGATAAATGCATGAAGCATTGATTTCATAAAAACTGATAGCTGTGCATATTTAGACTTAGATATAAGACTGTATGTATTTTTAAAGCATGATGAGAAGATCTACATCCTCAGCACTACTTGAAAAGTTTCTCTTTAGTTTATGAAGGTTGTGTTTGGTCAGTGAAGACATTAAGGACATAACAGAGATGAATTGATCAGAAACAGCTGTGATGTGGTGAGTGAAGGCAGATCTCAGTGTGCAATGGCATTCTGTGTTTGTTTTTATTAGAATTTTGTTTGCATTTCTCTTCTTAATTCACTTAAATCTGCACAGCTTTGCTATGGATGAAAAATAAACATCATGTTGTTGTTTTTTTTGAGTACCACAAATGAATCTTCATTGACAGTTAGGTTTATGTGTATAGTGCTTTACACAATACAAACAGATTCAAAGCAGGTTTATAGAAGATAGAGTTTTACTGGGTGAATCTCACGAAACCTGTTAAAGCCATGTCAGGATATTTAAAAATATTATTTATTTATTTCAGGGTTATTATTATCGTGAAACTAAAACATTTTCATTATAATATAATGTAGTCATAAAAACTATATAGATATAAAAAATGACAAAAAATACACAAAACTTGTTGATAAAAAAGACAAAAAATGTATTTATTTATTTGTGTATAGAATTTAAAATAAAAAAACAAGCCTATTCTTGCACTGTGACATTATTTTCATGTCTCATTACTGTCATGTGAAGAAAATATTTAAATTGTAAAAAAATGTATATGTCACGGTAGTGTTTGCCGTTTAATTTCTGCTTCAATTAAAACAAATCTGCACAGAATGCTTTTATTATATTAAAGTAACAAGACTCAGTAAATATCAATGAGAATAAGAACAACAACAGGACTCATTACAAGAAGGAGAATTGTGAGGGAAATGTGTTTAAATAATGCAACAAAATATTCTTAGGTGAAATATGAGCAAGACTTGCTTTTGTGAGGTTCACCCTAATACGACTGCACGGTCCTGTCAATGAAAGACATATCAATGGAAGATTGTTGGTTATTTTCAGCCGAACACACAGAGTTGTTGTTCTGTCGGGTCACACGGGACAGTCCTGTGACTGAAAGACTCTGGAATGTCCGTTTGATTGACAAGTGCTTGACAGAAGCTGTCGATGGAGACGGCGCATCTGTTGCCGGGCAACAGGCCTGTACATCTGTCCTACAGGAACTTTGTGCCATTGTGTGTGTGTTGTGTTTTATCTTGGTTAATTAGCTTCACGTACACACACACACACGCATTTAGATTCATTGTGTGGGTGTTCACTACAGTGAAAGTGCTCATAAAGCTGTAGGCGGGGCTTACTGAGGTGCTGAATGGGATGTGTGGCTGTTAAAGGGTCAGGAGGTCAACTGAGGTCAAACCGTTTGATGATCCCAGTACACCATTACGACTAGAGGAATGTCTGTCTGTCTGTCTGTCGTACTGTCATTCATGTGCTTCAGTCTGTAAGTCGGAATGAAATGGCATTTAAAAGTGCACTAAGTAAGTTTTATTCACTGTAAAAATGTTATGGAAGGAATGAGCAGAGTCCTTGATAGATATGTGTAAAATAAATGGAAAAAAATTTAGTTTTATCAAAAAAGTGAAACTGAATACTTAGCTGTAAGTATAGGGCGCAACTTAATTTTATGCATCTGAATCAGATTTGGCTTGTGAATTAATAATGAATTAATTATTACAGTTTATATATTGTAATAATATATTATAATATATTATTATAATATTAATTATAATTTATCATTTAATTATATCATTTAATCATCAACAATTTAATATACATTAATTGTTTACACATTTTCATAATATTTAATAATATATTGTTAAATAATGTGCACTAGTTAAAGACCTGGAATATGAATTAAGTAAGTAGTGTTTTCTTCAAATCAGTGTCATTTTAGTATATTAACATAATATACAGTGGGTACGGAAAGTATTCAGACCCCCTTAAATTTTTCACTCTTTGTTATATTGCAGCCATTTGCTAAAATCATTCAAGTTCATTTTTTTTCCTCATTAATGTATACACAGCACCCCATATTGTCTGAAAAACACAGAATTGTTGACATTTTTGCAGATTTATTAAAAAAGAAAAACTGAAATATCACATGGTCCTAAGTATTCAGACCCTTTGCTGTGACACTCATATATTTAACTCAGGTGCTGTCCATTTCTTCTGATCATCCTTGAGATGGTTCTACACCTTCATTTGAGTCCAGCTGTGTTTGATTATACTGATTGGACTTGATTAGGAAAGCCACACACCTGTTTATATAAGACCTTACAGCTCACAGTGCATGTCAGAGCAAATGAGAATCATGAGGTCAAAGGAAC